TCGGGTTTTGGCACATTTCTGATATTCACTCACACTGTGACAAAATATCACTTTGTGACAGATATCACTTTTATTCAGTAATTAAATTACAGTATTTCACTGTTGAAAATCTAATAAATATTGGTCCATCTCGGTGTTAATAATATCCTTCAGATTACTGTCGAGATGGTCCGATCCGTGCCGTGTAATGTCAACCGAGATGTTAACTTAGCAGCATGACTTCTTCCGCGGACGGGTTCCATCATTTTTCTCCTTATCATCTCTGTCTGTGGTCTGAGTTCCTTGCTGATTCTTTTCTTTATTGCGTCCTAATAAGTAAAATATGTACTGATTACGGGCAGAGTATGATATCTAAGACGCATGGACAGTCAAATAAAGTGTGTGTCACCTTTCACGGTAGCTCAGTCGGTAGAGCGCTCGCTCCGTGATCGGGAGGTCGCGACTGACTTAAGTCAATAAAAAATGGGTAGCAACTGTTTCTTCGCCATGCGCTCGGCACTTTGAAGTGAAAGTTGCGGATCCTTCGGATGAGACCTTAAAAACCGAGGCCCCCTGAGTGCCGAGTAAAGGTCAAAATTTGAAGCCCTTCACCGGTATATGGTAACGTCTCTTTATGAGTGAAAAATTCTCGAATGGGACGTTAAACAACATACAATCAATCGTCCTTTGTGCCTTCAAGTCGCGTCTACAACCTTCGCTCCGTTTCCTTCAAAAACAGGTACTTTTTTCTAAATTATGTTCGTTAAAGATCCAATGTAAACAATTACGTCATTTTGTACAAATAAATATATTGCAACATACTATACAAGTGTATAATGAAAGTTTTTAATATATAAATAAGCAATGTAAAATATTATATCTTGTCTAAGTATCTACCAACTTTGATATATAATTTACGTTTAATCTTTAAGTTTCATGTTGTTCCCTTAGGTAAACACCAAGTATGTTAAGAAATTGGGATGGTTTGAGATTATGCTCTAGTCAAGTATTATGTTACTGTTAATTGTAGATATATTGACGGTTAACGCCCAGTACTTGAATATCTGCCTATATGTAAATTTTAAGGGACACATGTTAATCTCAGTAAATGTCTTTATGTCCATTAGGTGTCTTCGTGAAGTAAGCATCGCGTGTCGACCGGCAGGCCGTGGGTTAGTGCCAAAAATCTTAGTCGGTTATAATCGCTAAATAGGGAGAAAAAGTTCTTGGAAATACGGGTCTTTTGGATAAGACCTTAAACAATGGGTCCTGTGGCATAAGAGGCGTCGCCAGTTGAGTTCCGAGTAAACGTACACTTTTGAGGCCTTTCACCGGTATACGTGTGTGGAAACAATCTAAATATGATTTTTTTTTCCAGGGGAGTGGGCTTTGAAGGTTACAAAATGATGGCAGGTTTTTTTCTGTAATTGGGCTGACTGCTGTAAAGGTACTCCAGGTCAAAATTCCAAGTATTTTGAATAAGAACCTGCTTGCGAGTGCCTTTGTGTGTGAATAAGGGTCAGTAGGTATCTGGTGAGGGAATAACCGAGTAAACCAGTGATAACCCGCTATGAATGCCTAAATTGTAGCAATTTTACCAGTTTTAAATTTTATCGTCCGATATTTATACTGTATCCACATATGTAGGTAACAAAAAGTTAAAGTTAGCAGAAAATTATTCAAAAGTAACAAAAAGTTAAAGTTAGCAGAAAAAAGTGAGAAATGCACTACAAGTTCATAAATGTTCGGGTCTTTTGACAACAGTTATAACTATATTGATAATCTGACAAAATATTATCAAAAGAATATGTAACAATTTAATTAAGAAGATGCATTATTACTCATCATCTTACATATGCAAAAAATACTGACTGAGGGCTTATGTTCTCCAGATTCTGGAATCATGGCAGCAATTAGCTGCAGAACTGTAGCTCTCTGCTTGAGAAAATTCGGACAGACAAAGCAGAGAGCTACAGATCCAAGCGTTGTAAAATCCTTCGATTTACGCCGCCGCTTTTTTGTCGCTCGCTTCGGGTATTATTTTTTTGTATTAAATGCTTTCCCCTGCTTTAAAAGTGGTATCCAATAATTATCCATATATTTTACTCCTATAACTGACACTTTATTTACCTTCCAACAGTTCCAGACGCCCTAAGGCCGTAATATCAGTTTAACAAATGCATTCCGACGTCGACGTTGGTGTCCTCCTGAAACAACACGCCCGAGTTTTATTTATCTCATTTCTTTTTTACGTAGATGTTGTATTCTAATCTTTATAGACAATATAAATAATATTTAAACCTCCTGAAATTTTTATTTACATTTTCTTGACAAGTATATGTTCTTTGAATTACTTCTTTTCGCACAACCCCCAATAACATGGACGTCGGAATAGGATTTTTTTAAACCGACATTTCAAAACCATAAAGGGCTGTTTGAGTCCGTTGAAAGGTAAATAAAGTATCAGGAATAGAAGTAAAATATATGGATAATTATTGGATACCACTTTTAAAGCAGGGGAAAGCATTAAATACAGGAAATAATAGCCGAAGCGAGCGACAAAAAAGCGGCGGCGTAAGTCGAAGGTTTTTACAACGCTTGGATCTGTAGCTCTCTGCTTTGTCTGTCCGAATTTTCTCAAGCAGAGGGCTACAGTTCTGCAGCTAGGCAGCAATCTGACCAGCTGGCACTAAATGATGTCATTCCAAAGTTGGGATCACACACCATCTGAACGTTTATAAGATCACAAATATTGTTGATATTTTTTTTCATTCTATTTATTCCATTATGGACAAATCGCTGTTCAATCAGTTATGATGTCCTAAACCTGGCGATGACGTTTACTTTTATAAATGATCGTAACATTAACTATCTTGTACATTTTTCTGAAATAAGTTAGAAGTACTTATTTAATCATTTGAATGATCAATGCACATAACAAGATACCTAAACATTTTATATTATGTTAACAAAGCAAGCATCATCTTTATTGATACGTATCCACGTAATGTCTCTACTTCATATCTATATAAATCAGTTTTTTTTAACACGAAGGCTTAACGTCTACCTTAAAAAACAAATTGCCTGTTACAATTAACAGTGTTTCGAACTTACTTTCCTTTTTTCATCAAAACTCCTTTTTAGGAAATGGTCAGACATCATTCTTTTTAAAATTATTAGTCTTGGGCTGAAAAACAAGCCTGTATCAAGAAAATTTTAATCCAAATATATAAATAAAAAAAGGCACTCTTGCTCATTATAACTAGGTACTAGCTGGGGCTATAATATGTATGTTATTATACCTCTATTAAGAATACTAAAATTTGATTGGCTTGTTAGAAGACGTTTAAACTCAATAATGACTCCAAAAAGTACTGTTTACAGCAATAATGACCTAGGAATCATTGCACGTTGGGTATAATGACCGGTCAATAAAAATAATGACCGCTTAAAATGACCTGTTAATCCAAATTCCATTCAAATTTTTAAAAAAAATTATGCATACTATAATGAATGTTCATTACACGAAATGCCGTTATAAAAATATGTGTAGGATTTTTAGGATACGGAACACGATTGGCCTTTAGAGGCGTCATAAAAATTTTCGTTTTCATTGAAACTTTCATTACAATGTCAAACTCAACGAATGCAGATTCGGCTCTCTTGTACAGTAAAAGTCTGCACCAGATTGTCATTGTACTCGGGAATGCTATTTGTGAATTTATGAAAATATATGTTACTGACAATCACAGAGTGTTTTAATAAATCGGCGGTGCAAAAACTTATAAGACTTGCAGGCGAAAAGTAAACAATTTCACTAGCGAATCCCGATCCCGATGGAACTCTGATGATAACAGTTCGTAGATCTAATACACAATTGATTATTTTAGTAATTAAGCCTACAAAAATTGCCTTTTCTTAAATCGGTATATTCGATTATCCCTTATAAGTTCAACGTGATGAAATAAGGACCCTGGACCTGGCCCACTCCCTGACCTGACTACGGCCGCTACTCGGTCAGGTCAACTCGTTGGCCAGGTCTCGGGTCCTTATTTCACCATGTTGACCTCATAAGGGGTTATTGTATAATATCTAATGTTTGCCTTCTTTCTCATATCAATACGTATCATACATTGTGCAGTAACAAGCCTAAGCTGCCTTTATGTTAGGATGTTTTATTGCCTCCTCGGAGAGGGTAAGAAACTACAAAGTAAAATACAATGTGTAAAGAACAAGCACAGTCTTATAAGGTTCAATAAAAATATACAATTGACACAAAAAGCATAATCCACGTTTTAGGTTATGCCAAAAAATGAAAATTTTGGACAGGACTTAAGTACAAAGGTGAAAAATGTAAATTCACATACACTAGGAAGCACAAATAGAAGAAGTAATTTCCATAAAATATTAGAGACAAAATAGTAGGTGCTATTGTAATTATCGTAACATCTTGGAAAATATATCATGTGTACCAATCCATGTTTTAGAATAAGCTGACCTCTTGCAGCAAATAAACAACTCTTATTACCTTTAAATAAATGTCAAGAAATGAAATACTCAAAGCACATTTTAGAGTTTACAATACCTGAATTGATTATACAATGCAACAATAAAAAACTTACAGTTTGTGGACATCCAAGCCGTGTAAATAGATCTACAGAAACATGCGGCGCGAAGCCATAATTACCTAAATTTTCTCAAAACTTAATATCCGGATAAGTTTACATATGGTAACAGTAGCGTACGGATAAAATTGGAAATATCGAACACAGCATAGACGAGCATAACATGACACTCCCCTTTTGATTTCTACCAGAAATCACCATATCTATAGATTAAATCATAATAATGAAAAATTTGCACAAAACAATAAGTAGGCAAAATTTGACACAACACATTTGTCAAAAATCTAAGTAACATCATGAATGGTAAATTTGCACACGTATGAATACCACAATAGACATTTGGTAAGCAAATAAGTACACAAAGCCAATTTCACATCACATGTCACATGTACATATTCATTCAACCTCCAACAACTTTACGAGTTGAGTGATTGGACGGACATAGGTTGTACGCTTGTCTCCTTGAGCAACTCTGACTTTGACTTTACGGACCAAACCGTCCTCGCTCTCGTACGCATCTTCAACCACTGTTATTGGCCAATGATTTCTGTGTGCTTCATTGTCTTTAAGAAGAACTATGTCACCCTTGTTGAAATGGATTCCGGTCGATTCCCACTTTGGTCGCGTTTGGAGTAGGTGTAAATATTCCGAATGCCATCGTGTCCAGAAGATGTCCGCCATGTACTGCACCCTCTTCCACTGGCTCTTGATAGCATCCTTCAAGTTACAGTTTGGCAGTGCAAAGTCATGTAGAGGATTCTTTTGTGTAAGCAGCTGACAAGGTGCTAGTACTTCAGGTTGTTCCGGATCAGACGAAACGGGTACAAGTGGTCGAGCATTTAGAATGGCACATACTTCAAGCATGAAAGTTGAGAGTACTTCGTGTGTCAAATCATGTTTGTTCTCCAATAATAAGGCGTCCAAAATTCTCCTACAGCAACCAATCATTCTTTCCCACACACCATCAAAATGTGATGCGTGGGGAGGGTTGAGGATCCAGGAAATCTTATTGCTTTGCAAATAGTTAGCTACTGGACCCTTCTCAATAAAGTGAACGTCTAAGTTCAGTTCCTTGGTTCCTCCCACAAAATTGGTTCCCCTGTCTGACCTGAATTGCTGTACTGGTCCCCAAATAGCTGTGAACCTGCGCAGGGCATTGATGAAGGACGCACTGCTCAATTCTTCAATAAGCTCCACATGGACAGCTCGAGACACCATGCACGTGAACAATATGGCCCAGCGGTTTGGGTTTCTCTGCATGCCTCTTGTTTTTCTGAATACAATAGGCCACGGTCCAAATACATCAATCCCCACAAAGGTGAATGGGGGGCCAGTCTCTAGTCGTTCTCTAGGAAGATCTGCCATTTTTGTCCAGCCGAAGCTGCCTCGAAGTTTCTTGCAGATGACACAACTCCTGATGATAGAAATGATTTGACGTTTCCCACCAATAATCCAAAAGCCAGCTGCACGGATAGCCGACTCAGTGAGATGACGTCCTTGGTGGTGTATGCTCGTGTGAAAGTGACGTATAAGAAGCACCGCAATGTGATGACCCTTCGGAATTATGATGGGGCACTGGTCCTTAGTTGTGAACCTGCCAGTTGGACTGTGTTTCAATCGACCCCCAACTCTAAGGATTCCGTCAGGATCCAAAACTGGGTTCAGTGGTAGAAGAGTGCTGTGGCTAGGTGGTTTACTCCCCTTTGTAATTGCTTGTACTTCTTCTGCATACACTTCATGTTGGATCTGCCTTATGACAACAGGTCAACAGGTAAGCGAGATTTCTGTTTATCTCGCATAAAGTTCATAGCAAGCTTCTTCAAATTGGCAATTGCTCTACTCAGACTATACCAAGATGAGAATCTAGCGCATCTTTCACTCCAGGTTGAAATCTTTTGCGTAGAATTTGTAATAGTCTCTGTTTTAGTTTTCATGCTCACAACTTCTTTCTTAATTTCAATGTCATCCTCAGCATTAAGTAGGGGGAAGCTCTCTTCCACACTAACAAATTTGTCAAACAGAAATTCAGGTCCTCTGAGCCATTCACTCTGAGGGAGCTCTTCAGTTTTGAAACTTCTTGTAGCAATGTCAGCTGGATTGGATTCAGTGGCGATATAGGCCCATTGTTTCGGACTGCAGAATGACCTAATACGACTGACACGATTGCAGACATAAACATGGAATCTTCTCGTCTCGGCTGAGATATACCCTAGAACTACTTTACTGTCAGAATAACAGCGAATTGCACTTTTATCTATGACCAATTCTTCTGCTACAGTTTCTGCCAGCTCAGCAGCAAGAACTCCAGCACATAACTCCAACCGGGGAATAGTATGTCCGTACGTCGGCGCCACTTTCGCTTTTCCAACCAAAAAACCAACATCGGTCGTATTCCCTGAGACCAATTTGAGGTAAGCTACTGCTGCGATGGCTTCTTTGGAGGCGTCACAGGAAATATGGACACTGAAGTTATCTGCTGAGGTCAGGGAGGATCTGCCATACATGCGTGGAATCTTAACATCCCCTAAATGCTGTAGTGAGTTAACCCAATTTTCCCATCGGATAAGGAAATTGTGTTGAAGTGGCTTATCCCAGCCCACCTGTTTCACTGTTGACATAATCTCCCTCAGTAACAGTTTCCCTTGCAAGGTGACGGGAGCTGTGAAACCTATAGGGTCAAAAAGACTGTTGATTGTCGATAGAACCCCTCTGCGAGTAAAGGGTTTCAGGTTTCCCGAGACTTGAAAAATTATAGAGTCTGTTTCTATATCCCAGGAGACTCCTAAGCTTCGCTGAACTGGAAGCGTGTCACATCCAGAATCAAGGTGTTTGAGATCTTTGGCTAGGTCTTCACTGTCAAACTGCTGGAGAACAGACTTTGAGTTGGACGCAAATTTGTGCAATCGAAGATGTCCTTCTTCCATTAGTGCCTTCTGTGTTCTTCTCATTAGGCTGACTGCTTCTGTCTCACTTGTGCAACTAGTTAACCCATCGTCCACATAAAAGTTCTTGTTAACAAACTCTTGCACATCCTTATCTGCATACTGTACTGCTTTGCGTAACCCATATGTGGCGATTGCAGGAGACGGCGTGTTCCCAAAAACGTGCACAGTCATTCTGTATTCTTGCAATGGTGCATTTAGGTCACCTCGGGGATGCCAAAGAAATCTCAAGAAGTCACGGTCTTTCTCTGTAACCTTGAAATTGTAGAACATTTGCTCTATGTCTCCAGTGATAGCAATCTTGTCCCGCCGAAAGCGAAGTAGAACGCCCAAGAGGTTGTTGGTCAAATCTGGCCCTTTGATCAATACTTCATTCAAAGATAGTCCTTCGTATTCGGCAGAGGAGTCGAAGACCATACGTATAGACTCAGGTTTTCTGGGGTGATAGACCCCGAACAATGGTAAGTACCAGCATTCAGAATCTACTGCAATCTTAGGTGCTATCTCAGCGTGTCCCTGGTCAAAGATTTTCTGCATGAAATCTTGAGCGTGAAGGAGCTTTGTAGGATTGCGTCTGAAGCTGCTGTCTAGCATCAGAGCTCGTTTCTGAGCTTGTGGTTTATTATTGGGTAGAGTTGGTCTATCCTATTTGAAAGGTAGTGGTGCTGTCCAGCATCCATCTTTGTCTCTTTTGAAAGAAGAGTTCATAATGTCCACTAATTTCTGGTCTTCTACAGATGGTCCAGGTTTTTCGTCGTTTTCAGTTTTCTGGAACACATCGTCGATCACCGAAAGCTTGTTCCCACATGGTTCAAAGAAGGTGGGTCGTCCACTTGGAAGAATGAAAGTCTTGTTTGTGTTGACTACTTCCGAAACATGTGTGTCTCCTAAGCACACTATCCCAAGGACCACCCATCCCAATGGAAGTTTCTGTGCAAACGGCAGACTAGGGTCAGCTACTTTCTGCTCCTTAACGTGATGTACTTCAAGGAGGTCTCTCCCAATTAACATTTCTATTTCTACTTTATCGTCCACTCGTGGAATGAGCTTGGATATGTCTCGTAAGTGGGCAAACTGTAGTGCCACTTGGGGAGAAGGGATTTCGTCCCTGTTGTTGGGAATGTCGTCACATTCTAGAAAGGTAGGCAGTTTCAACGAGCACGTCTGGTCTAAAGACTGCACAACATAGCCAATTCCCTGTCTGCCAAAGGTAGGTTTTCTCCCAGCACAGGACACTAAGATATAATTGTGTTCCGGACCTTTTTCCTGGAAGAAGTCAAAGAGAGTAGACGTTGCCAGGGTCTGGTTACTTTGATCATCTATGATGGCATACACAGTCCGAGCTACTCTTGGTCTATCTTCTCGGTATACACGCACTTGGAGTATCTTAGCACATGATCTGTTCGTAGGACGAGTTGTTCCACAGACTTGTGTGCAGGCGGCTGTCACTTCCTTATCGTCTTGGTCAGGGTGAAGCGCCGTGGGGTGTACATTAGATTTGCATATGCCACATGGTGCATTTGGCTTGCAATTTTTTGCCAGGTGTCGTTGATCCGCACATTTTAAACATATGTGTTTGTCTCGAATGAATTTTGTCCTTTCTTCTAGAGGTTTCAGGCGGAAGGCTCTGCACTGGTTTAATGAGTGGTTTTTACCATGCAGTGGACAGATTGTCATAGAAGTTTGGTCAACGGCCACTTCAGTCTTTTTAGTCGACACATTTCTTGCAGGAGGGTTGCTTCTAGGGATCGCAGGCTGTCCAACATTCCTTTGATTTTGACTTCTGTTTTCAGAATCATAAACAAATCCTGGATCGTTTTTCATCTTTGCGACATTTTGTATGAAAGAAGAAAAGTAAGTGAACGGCGGATACTGGCCATCGTGGTGTAGTTTGTATTCACTTGCTTTGTGAGTCCATTTCTCCTGTAGATTGAATGGTAATTTGGCTACAAGTTTATTCACACCATAAGAAGAGTCAAAATATGCAAAGGTAATAGAGTTCTTATCATTGTTCTTAACTCCCTCTATCTCACTGGTAAGGTCTGCGAGGTCAAAGAATTCCTTCCTCTGGTGGTTCAATAAGTTTGGAAAGTCCTTGATCCTGCGTTGAATCGTGTCTTCGATAATCTCAGGACTTCCGAATCTACGGTCTAAGCGTTCCCAAGCTAGTTGTAGTGCTTTCTCTGGATCCTGAACGTTTGCTGAACGGATACTCTGTACTTGCTTCTTGGAATCTGGTCCGAGCCATCTAACGAGCAAATCGAGATGTTCTAAAGGTGTTTCCCCAACCTCGGTCACTATATTTTGGAAGGTAGCCTTCCAAGCCATATAATGTGTAGGATTGTCATCATACATTGTAAATCTAGCAGATATTAGATCCCTCTTGGCTATATACTTTGCGAGATGATCGAAAGCAAGGGGAGAGAATGATGGTGCCTGGGGGTTGAGGGTTGACAGTACACCCTGACTCTTCTGTGGCGTTGAGTGTTTCAAATCTCGGGCCTCACTGAAGTCTAACACTGACGACACATCATCTCGATCATCTGGACTGTTTGTCAAGTTCTGTATATATTCCCTCGTCCTCTCCATGGGATCTTCATACTCAGTCTCTTTGTCCTTATTCTCGCCTAGTATTTCGTCAAACGCCGCAAAGGTTGACTGTGCGAGTGCCACCGCTTTCCGACTATCCAAGACCTTGCGTTCAGCCTCCAAGGCCACTTGTCTCTTTAAAAGCTGAGCCTCCTCTTCCGCAAATTGAAGTTCTAGTTTTGCTGCTTGCAGGTCCGCCTTGGCCGCTTGCCGCTGTATAAATGTAGTCAGGTCCGAACCAGATTGGCTCTTGCTCTGTGGTCGAGGACTGCATCTTGAACTGGCGATGGATGGCTGTTTGTCTGCGAAGTGTTGTCTGTAGCTACCAAACGGTGGTTTGCTGTCTGCTAGCACTTTTTCCATCTCCTTCTGCACGTGATCCACTTTGGCGCGTTCAGTTGAGGCAACCAATCTTTGTGAGGCTTCTTCCCTTATACTGGCTAGAGTTCTAGTTCCTTTCAGGTATGATTCATACTCTTTCGACACATTGTTATACTGTTGCATAAACTGAATAAGATCTGCTCTCATTGCTCGAACAATGTTCTTATCAGTTGGTTTGGCATCTTCAAATTCTAAGATAACTGAATCAATGTCTCTTCTCACACTTCTAAGCCTGTTGTTATAGTGGTCAACTTTCTCTTCAAATAACATGAGGGTTTCATGAGTGAGTGTTCTTGTCCTCCGTAGTTGTTTGTCTGGTAGACTATTCATGGCGAGTGGGTGTGTAGAATCAAACTTTTCTTACTGTGCAGTAACAAGCCTAAGCTGCCTTTATGTTAGGATGTTTTATTGCCTCCTCGGAGAGGGTAAGAAACTACAAAGTAAAATACAATGTGTAAAGAACAAGCACAGTCTCATAAGGTTCAATAAAAATATACAATTGACACAAAAAGCATAATCCACGTTTTAGGTTATGCCAAAAAATGAAAATTTTGGACAGGACTTAAGTACAAAGGTGAAAAATGTTAATTCACATACACTAGGAAGCACAAATAGAAGAAGTAATTTCCATAAAATATTAGAGACAAAATAGTAGGTGCTATTGTAATTATCGTAACATCTTGGAAAACATATCATGTGTACCAATCCATGTTTTAGAATAAGCTGACCTCTTGCAGAAAATAAACAACTCTTATTACCTTTAAATAAATGTCAAGAAATGAAATACTCAAAGCACATTTTAGAGTTTACAATACCTGAATTGATTATACAATGCAACAATAAAAAACTTACAGTTTGTGGACATCCAAGCCGTGTAAATAGATCTACAGAAACATGCGGCGCGAAGCCTAAATTTTCTCAAAACTTAATATCCGGATAAGTTTACATATGGTAACAGTAGCGTACGGATAAAATTGGAAATATCGAACACAGCATAGACGAGCATAACATGACATACATAGTTTTCATGTAAGACCCAATACTTCTACTTGATACACATACATATCGTAAAAGCTATCACAAAAAACAATTAACAATAAATCCCTTAGAAAGATCTTCTTTGGGTATTAATGAGTGTACCATCTACGGTACCAGCAACATTTGGGAACCTTGCGAATTCCATCAAGTGGAAAGTTTATGATGTTTGAAACATTAAATGCTCTAGACCCCCATCTTTAATGTGGAAAATGTAATGCTTCTTTGGATGGTATCGCACTTGTTCTGGTATTACGAATAATTCAAGAGTGCACACAATTTAAGAGTGCACACACACACACGCCTCTCAAGTACAAAAAATTAAAAACGCAGTAACAACAGTGAAATCAACAGGCAACAAGAACATATATATATCGAGTAAATTACAGCATAAGCAAATTTTCTTCTGTGTAAGTAATGATTTTAATTTAGTGAGTGTATATTAATATAAATGCTCACTTGTCACAGGCTTTTAAGAAGTTCCCAAAATGGCCGAAATACTAATTTTTGGTTCCTCATTACTAAAAGCTTGAAAAATTCTTGAGAGGGACGTTAAACAACATACAAAAACTAGATGCTGTCATGAGACAGTAATACCCGCACTAAGGTGTTTGCCTCTAAATGCACACTCCTTCATATTGGGCTTACCAAGGAAAAAAGGCAAAATAATTCTATAATTTACACAGTACATGTATTCGTCAAATCGAGCATAAAATGCTCAGGTGACCATGTTACCCATGAACCTCTTATACGCATTTCATATACTTAATTCATTACCAGTCTGAAATAACAGAATTTAATTAATGATGTAAATTAGGTTTTGATAAAAGGGAGGATATAAATTTTTGGCCCATAATTAGAACTTTTTAAATTTATTATCTCAACAACAAATAATATTATTTTAGTACAAAGTGTTTTTAATGAATTTATCAAAATGTGCAAAGTTTTTTAGTATTTGATTAGGCAAAAACCTCCTTGGAAAGCCATACCCAATAAATTTTACCCCCCCCCCCCAACACACACACACACAATTTGCCTGTTTTTGGAAATAGGCAAAGGTATGTTAAAACTTCATTTGTTCTGATGATTTAAATTTGTTCTTGTACTGTACATGTATGTGAACACCTTTTTGAAAATTTCTACATCACATTGGGCTTGAGTCATCCTACTAGTACTAGTTTTACCATTATCATAGATTGCACATGGTGCAGTGTTACATGCATATATATCAGTGGAAATTAATTCATTTTGTGTTTTAATTGGATTATATTTCATGAAGTTGACAGGACCTATGACAGTCGGTAAGTACAAGTTTAAGTACAGATTGGGGTAAAATAAACCGAAATGCAAATGGTTAGGTTAAAGTTTAAAAAGGATCAAAGATCATCGGCAATCTCCTATGCAGAGTTGTCGTTCGTTTCTCTCTCAGACACTGAATGTATGAGCCGATGGTAGAGAGTGGATCATCGGATGCCACAATAGACGAATTTCACATTCTGAAGAGTTATCTCCTGTTGTCGACATAACATTCACTTACAGGCACAGATCCAGGAATTTTGTCCGGGGGGGGGGGGGGGGGTTCCACACCT